TATTTTGTTCATCTAGTTCTTTTGTTGTTACAGTTTCTGCTAGTATCAATTTTATTCTCATGCTTATGGGACACATTTCAAGGAAAGAGAAAATGCACTTACATAAGCTTTTGGTTCTATGAACATAGACTTTGCACTAGGAAAGAACAATTTTCACCTCTCATGGGGAATAACATCCTTAATTGGATTTTGAGAGGTGAAATTTGTTCAAATTGCACCAGTCTAGTGATAATGAAGTACAATATTTAGAAGCCTTTAAGGGCACATAATCTGAAAAGATTACTAGGGCTAATGGTTTTCTTGACGAAATTGAGAAATGTTTCCCCAAAAACAATAAGGTTTGACATCGTTTTTACTTATTTGATGCCTATAAAGTATAGGGGTCAAGAAAATGCGAGGGAGTACATTATGGATGTGTTTCATATTACTTCAAGACTTAAGGCACTTAAGATCGAATTTTTCTAAAGAATTACTTATTATTGTGATTTCAGTTTCGCTTCTTATATAGTTTAATTAATTCAAAGAGAGAAATGAACTCTAGATGAGCTCATTTTTCATGGTGTACAAGATGAAGAAAAGTTGAAGCATAATAATTTTGAAAGTATTCATTTAAAAAGTGCATATAAAGATAAGGGCAAAAAATAAAACCAGAATGTAGTTGCTAAGGGTCTAACTCAAAAGAGACAATAATATATTATAAAGGGTTGTTCTCTTTTGTAATAAGTTAGGAAATATGAGGAGAAATTAAATTCTGAAACAGTAAGCAACTACTTTGGTTATTCTACATGATTTAGGGGTTATAAGTTTTATGATCTCATAATTAGGAATAGTTTTAAGATGAGATCTTTAATATTACTTTCGAGGATATTGAGTTTGGAGGGAGAATTGGATTATAAATCAATTCCCATTATCACATTTGATGATATTCATGTGTTTATACTTGTTGTTAATTAAGAAGTGAATCTAGAATCTTAATAAAGTTATTTTTGAACAACTCTCCATTTAAGATGAAAAATCATTTCAGAAAAACAAACTCAACAAACTCAGAGAACAAGTATCATTAAGAAGATCCACGAAATGAGAGAAATAATATTTAGATTATTATGTTGTATTTCTCCAAGAAATAAGGATGACAGTAAAATGATAGAGGATGATCTAATCAACTTTCATCATATCATAAAAGTTCAGACTCTCATAAGTGATTAATGTCATGGAAGAAGAGTATAAGTTCTATACAAGATAATAAAGTTCAAGAACTTGTCTCATTACCTGAAGGTGCAAAATTAACTGGTTGTAAATGGATATTTAAAACCAAAATAGATGAAAAAAGTGATGTTGAAAGGTAGAAGGCATGTTTTGTATCTAAATGATACACTCATGAAGAAGACATTAATTTTATAGAGACTTTCTCTTTGGTTTCATTGAAAGACTTTTTTAGGATAATCATGATACTTGTTGTTCATATTTGATCTTAAGTTACATAAGTTGGATTTCAAAATTGTGTTTCTCAATGGTAATATTGATGAGATGATTTATACAATGCAATTAGAAAAATTGTATCTAATGATGCAAAATTAATGATATGAAAATTAGATAAATCAATTTATGAGTTTAAGTATGACTCTTGTTAATTGTATAATAAATTTTACCAAGTGATTATCTCGTTTTGTTTTGAGATGAATTTAGTTGACAATTGTATATATTATAAGTTCAGTGATAGTAAACCAAATGATACCCCTTATAGCTAAAGGAAACAAGTTTAGTCTTGATCAGTGCCCTAAGGATGATTTTGAAACTAAGGAAATGTAAAAAGGTTCATTATGCTTCAAAATAAATAAAGAATTTAATGTATACTCAAGCTTATACACATTCAGACATAGCATATGATTTTAGGATATTAAGCATATATTTAACCAATTTGGGTATGGATCGTTGGATAACAGCCAAATTGATTCATACAATACATTTAAGAACAAAATGTTACATGCTCAAATATCGGAGGTCCAGTAAATAAGAGATCATTAGGTCTATGGACTCCGATTTATTAGAATATGGATGCAAAATTTTGTCACATGAACTGCTAATTATGGATTGATAAGAAAGACCACTTGAGTTATTTTGTGCCAACTAAGTTGCAGTCCTTTATTCCATATATAATAGAAATATCTTAAGTCTAAGTATGTAGACATTATGTTTCTTGTTATTAAAGAAAATTCAGAGTGATTATGTGTTTATAGAGGTACAAACTTATACTTGCGTATTTACTAAAGAACTATCAATCAAGGTCTTTCATGAGCACACTACTCATGTGGGTGTAATATCATTTAAGGATATTCAGTTTTTGTGGGAGTTTGTAATATTAGTGCTCGTTTGTTATAGACAAAATTTCAGTTACTTCAGTTTAAGGATATTTATGTTAAAGTTATTTTATGCAGAAATAAAGTTTATTTTGGTTTATCCACTTCGATTTTAGTAAAATTTGATCTCACTAATGTTTAAAGAGGACCAATTGGAAATAGACATGAGCGGTTTACATTACATGTAATTTTCATGCTACGCTTCATGATTGATCTCTGTCATTTGATTGTCTTTGTATACATGACAATTGATGGGTCTAATCATGATTGATATGGCAAAGAACGCTTTGATCATATATGGATATAGTTGATGGATGAGATTTTTACATAATACCTATTACATGATAACAAGTTTTAAGCTCATAAGGTTATACATTTATCAGGAAATATATGTTGCCTAAGTGGGAGATTGATGGATTAAAATCCATAATTATGGGAACAATATCTGATTCTTAAATCAGCTATATAAAGGGGTTATGGTCCCTAAGAAATAAATACTTTCGTGTTTACTCTTATCACCGTTAGAGAGTTTATGCCTAAGGGAATTGCATCTTCTTGGAAGATCACAACCTAAGAAAGATTCAAAGATTTCAACCAATCAATTAATTCAGGTACGCTTCTACTAATCTAGTATTTATTTTATTCTTGATGATTTGATATGATTAGATCATGGTTGATTTCATATTTATTATGATTAGGTTCTAACACTAGTTGGATGTTGTGTCGATGCTATGTGACTCAGACATGTCCTGAGTGCTCTAGACGAGTAGACTAGCCGAGTAAAGTACCGACACTTTATGACCCAGCCGATGTTTAGGGAGATATTGATGCTATGTGACCTAAGTCTTCCTTAAGTGTTGAAGTAAGTAAAGAGGGATGTGAGTTCTACGAGGCTAAGTGACCCCAAACTACAACATGATACTTACTTGTATTGTTCTAGTGTTTGCCATTGTTCATGACATTAAATGTAACATGCTTATATGTTGAATGCATGCAATAAAGTAGGGTTATTTATGTGGCATTGAGCTTGTGAGCTCAGCGTATGAAATGTGTTTCCGTGCGTAGGTCCTTCGCTGCCAGTTTCGAGGAGCACATCATCGATTCAGAGCTTTCTAGACTTGATTACCATCAAAGTATGTCTCGAGTATTTAGTGGGCATGTAAAGACCCTTAATTGTATTTGAGTCATAAACTTTGTATTTTGTTTTATTGAACGTATTTTTGGAGACTTTTTTGGGAGCTCCCCCATAACTGATATACTTATATTTTGTTAATGTATGGTATTCGGATGTTATCATTTCTCACTTGATAAAGATGCTTTAAAAAATGGTTAGCCAGTCACGTGGTTCCATGTGACATCATAGTCCATCGACTTTCGGGTCGGATCAGATTAGGGTGTTACAGTTAAGCAATCCGAAAGACGGATATAAAAAAAATCTAGCGTATCCTTGGAAACAGAGACAGATTAAAAGCCTAAAGGAGTATGGGAAGATGTTCTTACCAACCATTTGAGCTATGGAGGCTTGAAGAAGGAAATAAGAAGACTAATAAAGAAGATGGAGAAGAAAGACTATTCGACCATAAAAGCCACACACAAACTTGGTATAAAACCCTAAATATCATCATTGAATTTTAACAACGGTCTAATTTACTTTTGGTCCTTCGCAATTTACCTTTTATGCAAAAATCCCCTTTTATACCTTTTTGGGCTTTATTCACAACCAGTTAAACCCACACTTGGCCCAATATCTTTAATTACAAACTCCACGAGACCACATACCTCTTGGATAAACTCGAAACTATCAGTCTGGAATTTGAGGTGGAAAAATATGAGGACTAATGTGTAAGAACATCAATCCTAAAATAAGATGCATATGATAGAATGCGTATATGACATGGTAATGCATGATATGCAACACATAGTAATCAAAATAAAGATTGGCGTGAATGATATAGGTAATATAAGCATACAAAGCATGAAATAAGTAGAAATGTGTAAGGTAAGTAAAAGTTCCCTCTTCTTTCGTCTTTGTGAGAGAAGATGAACGAGCGAAGAACAAAAGTAGAGCTTGAGCAGGATCACATCACTTTTAATAATATTATTTTTAAAATTGAAATAAATTAGCTATTTATTGACTTCATGCATTTTTATTGAATTAAGATAAAAAATAAATTATAAATTACTTGTTGATGTTAAAACATCGATTAACATTTTTTATCTATATCAAATGAGTTTGTTTAAGTGATAAGCAGCTTGATATCATTTAAGTAGGTTTTAAATTTGATCTTTTTTATATAAAAAAATTCTCGTTAAAAACTCACATATAATAATCAAACATGTCAATCTCGATTAATTAGGATAAATCCTTAAGTAATCGGGAGGAAAAAGACATTTTTTGTCTATCAATGTGAGCAAACTCAGCGAAGTGAATAGGGAAAGTTCACAAAGATACTTGCAAGATCTTTTAATTTGAGCTGAAAACTACATTTTCTGCCAAATATTAAAGGACATATAGCTCAAGTTCACAAAGATTGATTATTTTCATGGCAACCATTATACATCAAATATAAAATGACATTAATTTCATATGGCATATAAGATACAAATATGTCTATTTTCTATCTGCTTAGAATCATGTCCAACTTACAACTGTGAAGTTGGGTCAAAAACATTAGCATGCCCATTTTTCTTTTCAAAACCACCTTTGGTAACCTCTTCTCCATCATATTCATCATTCATGAACCTCTTCCAAAACCAGTGCTGCTTCCACACCCTCTCCGTCATCTCCTCGATCGGGATGTTCTTTGTCTCCGGGATTAGGAACAACGTAAAGATCGACATGACCACAACCCAACCGGAGAAGAACAAGAAGATTCCATACTTGAAATGGCAAAGCATTGATAGGAAAGCCTGGGCTATGACGAAGGTGAAGAGCAAGTTGACACAAACAGTCACACTCTGCCCCGCCGATCGGGTCTCGAGTGGGAATGTTTCACTAGGTATCAGCCAACCGAGAGGACCCCAAGACCACGCGAAGGCCGACACGAATGTACACACCATAACGACTACGAATGTTGCGAAACCTTTGTGGAGATCGTCGGAGTGATCCTTGACCTTGAGTCCGAGAATTATAGCTATGATTACTTGGGAGAAAAACATCTGCACACCGGCTTCAAGTAGAAGCACACGCCGGCCTACTTTGTCGACCGAGTAAATCGATATGACCGTAGACAGAACATTGACAGCGCCGGTGATAACAGCGGAGTAAAGTGCAGCATCATTGCCGAATCCCAATGTGTCGAACAAGACCGGGGCATAAAACATGATCGCATTGATACCGGTACATTGTTGGAAGATCTGTTCCATGTAGACACATCAATTAAAATTCACTCATTTTTATGACCCGACGCGACTCGAAACGACATTATTGATCATTATGTTATTACCTGCAAGGCGATTGCGATGACGAGCTGGGGTCGGTTCCTACGTTGAAGGAGATTCCTGAAAGGGTGTTTCACTTGTTTAGCCAGACGACTCGCCTCGACGAGCTCCAGGAACTCAGGGTCGATGTTATCGGTGCCACGAATCTTCCGGAGCACGGCCTTTCCTTGTTCGTGACGACCTCGCTCGATGAGACTGTTGGGACTATCGACGACCAGGAGGGCTCCAACGGTTAGGAGAAGTGCTGGGATGCCGGCCAAACCTAATGATAGCCGCCAACCCCATCCACCTTTGATTCTGTCGTTGCAAAGCAAAGCAATGAATGATTGTGAGATTAGTAGAAATGAAAGAATTATTCACACTACAAGGATTAATGCATTTAAGTTGGGTTTAATTAACTGTTAATCAAACATTAAACACGTAATTAAAGAGTAAAAGAGAGAGAAAAAAACAAGAGATTTACTTAGCAGTGCCGTAGTTGACAAGATTAGCAAAGAGAATTCCAATAGTGACGTTAAGTTGGAACAATATATTTAACCCTCCACGAATCCTCGTAGGTGCTATCTCCGACAGGAACAAGGGCACTGCCTGTATTTCATAAATGACAAACTATATTATATCTCCTGAACAAAATTCAAAGTCTGACCATTAAATTCAAAATCTGACCATTAAATTTATCTAGCATGTCGGCCTACTAAAAATCATGATGACTCCACTGTTGACACACACATTAAAAACTATTATATATACTACCAATCGATACTGAAAATGAAATGAATTGATCAAATCATAAAACGTGAATCGTTAACGAATCTCGAATTAGACTTATTTTTATCAACGTGTTTATATTTAGATTTAGGGTGTAAGATTTGTTTTGAATGTAAAGATTTAATATTAAGATACACATAATTTTCTAAACTAAAACTTCCGTAATCTATGTTTAAAATGAAATTAAACCAATGGGGAGCAAAAGAGTGTCACACAACTCACCATCGCATGTGTAAAACGTCAAACCTAATAAATATTAATTTTTGAAGTTTGAAAAGTTAGTGGAAAAAGACAACGATTTGGGTTGTGACTAATGCTTAAAGTAATATATTTAAAGTTGAAGGATTGATTGATTAAATTAATTAATCAAATCAAATGTCAGAAGATTTAGCAGTAAAGTTCGTGGAAACGTAAACGAGCTAGATGACGTGGGTGCTAAAGGGATAATTTAAGTGTTCTTATTACCATGCACAACTGAAATTAGTAGCCTTGAAAGGGAACCCTAATGGATGACCAACTGTTTTGAAAAATATAAATTAATTAATTAATTGAATGGTGTTTTTTGAAGGCTATCTCACCTAGATGGACACGTGATCAGTGGATAGATTTTGAAACTGACATAGAAATAATAAATATTTAAAACAGAAAATTTTAAAAGACTTAATTTGACTAACATTAAAACTAATAAGGACTTAATTGGTAATTATCTTCCACGCCTTAATTAGTACGTTCCATGAACTAGTGTATCGAATCTAAGTGCTTTATCGATGTTACCTGATTAGCGAAACCGACACCGCAGCCAAGCAATATCCTGCCGATAATGAGCATGGCGAGGTCTTGAGCGGCGGCGTTAAGGACAACACCGGCGATGAAAAAGAAACCTGCGATCAACATGGTGAGGCGGCGACCGAGCTTCCTGGTAGTGTAGGAGGCGAAAAAAGTGGCCGTTAAGCCTGCCAAATAAAGCGACGAAGTGAACAGCTGCAGGCCTTGGTTATCGTATTTGCAGTAATTCCCTTCGGTTCCTGGGTTTCTGGTCCTATGATAAACCGCCGGGAAGAATTTTTCCAGGAAGTCCGGCATGGACGTTACGCCACCTGCATCAAAACGAATTAATTAATTTATTTTACAAAATAAAACAATTATTATTATTATCATCTCCATGTTTTCTGACGAGTGACACTGAATTTTTTTTTAATATTTTATTGTTGAATGGCCTAATTACATAATACTAATAGTTTCTCATGAACCACGAAACGGAGGAATGAATTACCGGAAACACCGATGTCGTAACCGAACATGAGGCCGCCGGTGGCGGCCATTATACAAGAAATGATGACGATCGGAGTGATCTTTGCCTCGAACTCCACCCCCGCCGGTGGAACCGATGAGAATCCACCCGCCGGCATAGCTTCTATCTGAATATATATCACCTGAAAAAACGAAGCTAAATATCTGTCTCTTCTTCTTCTCCTCTATAAAATTGAAGTGGAATATGCAAAGAAGGAAGCAAGGGAGGGCTTATATAGAAGTGGAGAGTGTAAAGCTCGAAACACCTGCAAATTGGATGACGTAGTGGGTTACAACCGTCAGGATCTTTACACGTATTTCTTGACTTGTATCTGTTTTTCTTTATATATATTCTTTCCACGGCTGGTTAGTCAACCGACGGCATTTCTCAAACGTCACCACAGTTCCTAGCAAACAAAGATTTTAAAAAAAGTATAATCGTACTTAGGGATAAAAATTCTATCCGAATCAGATGAGTTTTAACATAATTCGACTTGATAGGGTTATTTAAAAAAATTTAGGCCGAACCATGTTTAAAGTAAAAGAAATTTAGTCGACTTGATATGGAATAATAGTATAATTTTCTTTTATAAAGTTAGATATAATTTATATCAGGGGCGGATCTCCATGGAGCCCGGGGTATCCCGGACCTCCATGGAGCCCAGAGTATCCCGGACAACCCCTCATTCAGGGGTGGACCTCCATGGTGTCTGGGGTATCCTAAGCAACCCCTCCACAAGTGTCACCTCTAATCCAAATGTCACCCCTGAGGCTCTTGTAACCCCTGATGAAGGCTCCTGGGTCCACCTCTGATTTATACAATACTCTTTTTCTATAAATTTTCTAATATGTCTCTCTTTTATCAAATAAAAATAAGATGAAATTAAAGACAAAGTTGTTGACACAACTAAAGTATTCATCGGTGTCGGAAAAACATTAAGGGGATTGACGAAAAATAGGTATTTTTATGGTTCATGTTTAAGCTTATCCACTAGGTTGGGAAATGCATTTCGGAATTCAAGACCATACAAGTTAAGTTTACTTTCTCGCAGGACGGAGCTCCCGCAAATATTTAATTATGTTTTCGTCCCCGTTTGCTCGGTTCTAAAGAAATTATTATTAATAAATTATTTTAAAAAACCTTTACATTAAGTGTTGTTCTACTTTATATGCTTAAATTCACAAGAAATGTAAGAGAATCACATGTTAATTATTAAGTGTTTTTTTTTAATTCACCTCACCATTTTTTCTTGCTTTTGGATAAGGTTATTTATCTCACATTAATGCATTATTTTTGTTAATATTTTTGAAAAAAAATATCATTTGCTGATATTTTCTTTAAATATCATAATCAACATCATTAAACATTTTTTATAATAATTTATAATTAATTAATTAATTTCTAGAGTTAATTGCTTCACACGTTTTCAAATTGAGTCACTCATTTTAAATTAGTGTTTGAACTTTAAATATTATAATTTTATCGTCAAATTATGACTATCTTTCTAAATTATTCCTCAGATTATGACCCTTATTCTAAATTGGTAATATTCTTTTAAATCTTTCAATTTCATCCTCAAATCATCTAAATATGTAATTAGTTTCAACCATAATCTAATCTATTTTTTCAAACATATAACAATAGAGTTTGACCTAACGATTTTATTAACAGTGGATGTGATTAAAACAAATTGATAGTTTGGGATGAAATTGAAATTAGTTTGTGGATTAACTTAAAATGAGGATCATAGTTTTAGGATAAAATTAAAATGTTAAAAATTTGAGGATTAATTTAAAATGAGTCATAATTTAAGGATGAAATTAGAACGTTTAAAAGATCAAGAATCAATTTAAAAATTAAGATCAATCATCATAAATATTAAACTATTTAATTAGTTTATTTTCAATGAGAGTAAAAAATTATAATTATAGCTAATAAAAATAAATGTTTTTTATTAATCCATGTAAGCATAAGGTATTATATGTTCAAAGATAGCTCTCAATCATTTGATATTAAACGTTCACACCCTAACATAACATTCCTAGAGCATAAATCTAATACCTCTAGGAATAACAACATTTTTTTAACCATTAAAATTTCTCGGTTCGTGCTCATGATTATATATGTTAAATTATATAATCAATTCGAATATGAATATCCAAAGACCTAAAATCTTAACCTATATTAACTGTGTCAAAATGTCAATTTATAAAATGTTATCTCTCTACGAAGCTCATCAGTTAAAAGACTAATTTCGTAAATTCTAAAATTCAATCAGATTAATTCAATTTTAACTCAACTCGATATGATAAGAATATAAAAAACCGATAATATAAATTTAAAACACTTTGAATTAAAAATAATTCAAACCTAAAACTAATTTAATCCAAAATGATCTAAAATTGCAAAGCTATTTTATGAAATTATTTCTTTCGGTTTATCGTACTTTTGAAATTAGGAAAATCAAGTCTTTTCACCCTCTGATTTTTTATTTGTTTCGGTTTAAATATTTCTTTAATCCCTATTTATTTTGAAATTAGACAAATTAAATATGATCTTATTTATTAATATTTATATTTGTCCTCCTAAATTTTATCCCAACTTTGTATCCAATCGAGTTGAATAATTAAACTAAAAATTTAAATTATTTAATTTTTTTACGACTCAAAAATTATAAAATTCGGATAAATTGGCGTAAATTGATTATTCCAAAATTCACCAGACTCTGCCTTATTGACTAATTTGCACGCGAGTAATAATTGTAGAACCGAAAGATCTATGCAAGGGCTTAATGCACTAGATTGTTGAAGCGGATTGATGAAGACATTCACATAATTTTTGTGTCAATGTACTGTTGATTCCTTTTTTTTTTTTTGTACACCGGGTTCTAAGGTTCCGCCTTAATATATTTATACCGACCCGCGTCGCGTGTTTAATTTTAATGCATGTGTTACGGTAGAAATTTTCGGCGTATATAAAAACTCAAATTTAAGACTTTATTAAAACGATATCAAACTGCGTACCACTTGAACTAATCCCGTCGATGACAATGTACTGTTGATTAGATAACATATCAAACATATACAAAAAATGTGGTTGAAATCCACCCAGATGACACATGCATGTTTCCCATGAACCACGAAAGTTTGCAGATATCTTACACTTCATATGGAAAAAGATAAGTGGCTGCTCATTACAATATATTATGATAACGATAAATGGAAAATGATAGTGAAATACAAGAGATATTAATATTTTATATGAAAAATTTAAAATAAGAAAAATCATGAGTTGGCAAAAAAAAGATGATACGCGTTAAAGTTTGATAAAAATTGTCAAGTTTAAGGGTTGATTTGATAAAAATGTCAATTTGAAGGGTTAATTTGTGCAATAAAGCTTTTAAAAAAATTGTCAAGTCGGTTTCATCCTGTTCATAAGACACCTCTGGTTGATTATCGAACTTTTACTTAATTTATTTTAGATAAGATAAGGGAGGTAACTTTTTTAACGCCAAAAAGAAAACTGATTCACGAGAAAGTAGAAGCATTGAGATCGGATTACGATTAGGGATGGGCATAGGCCTGAACCTGACATGTTCCGACCCGATTAGACTCAATCAGATTGGTTTTTTAATAAAAAAAGTTAAGTTGGGGTCGGATCTGATTTTTTTAAAGGTGATGTTTAGGTATGGTCAGATTTAGGTTTAGAGTGAAAAATATATGATCTTACCAGAAAAAAATATATATAATTTTAACTTATATTTTTAAGAATAATTACAATAATATCTCTCTATATATTATTTTTTTCAATTAAATTATTGTTTTTATTGAATAAAAATAATATTTTTATTATTATTTCGGGTTCAAATTTTATCTCAAAAAATCAAGTCTAGTTGAGGGTATATATTTTTCAGGTCGGATCTGGTGAATGATGTAAAAATTTTAGATCGGGTCAGGTTGGCCGAAACCCGACCTATGCTTAGGATTGGGGAAGCTAAAAAGCATGCATGCATGCATATATTGCTTAGCCACTTAATTGTTGGGTTAAATTCTTTAACTAGTTCTTATATTACACGTAAGTTGTAGAATTAGTCTTATATTCAGGGCCGGCTCTAATGGGGACCACCGCTCAGGACCCCAATTTTTTTATATTTACAGTTAGACCCCTCAATTTTTTACATTTATAATTAGAGTCCATAATTTTTATAATTTCATAAAATGTTTAGTTTTTGACCCTCTTTTTCCATTTCTCTTATTTATTCATTAAATTTTGAATTAAATCTAATGATTTTTTCTCTCTTTTTTCAAACCTTACTCTTCAATTTATCAAATATTCTTTAATTTTTTGTCTTCTTCAATCTCAATCTAACAATAAAATAATATACAATTCTTTTTATTTATTTATTATTTAAAACCGAGCTATGTATCATACATGCATTCAATCCTTTTTATATTTATTCTCTTTTAGATGAATTTAAGGTGTTTTCTTAATAAAATAATAAAAATAATATATTTTCATAAAATTTAATCATTTTTCTATGATTTATTTATGTAATATTAAATTAATTGTTCAAAATAATGAAATATACTTTCATTTTATAAAGGTATTTTTTTGAGTTTTCGCCCAGGCCCCCGGAAATATCCGAGACGACTATGCTTATATTATTTATAAATTATGAAATTAGCATTTTTATAATAGTTTAACTATTTTATTATTTTAAAACTGTTAACTAACTGTTAATAGTTTATCTTTTAAACTTTATTATTTTTAATTATTAACGAACTGTTAATGTTTTATTGATGTGATATAATAATATTGAAAATATATTTAAAACCGATAGTTTTTAGTTTACAATATTTTTATTTTGTAAATTAACCTCCATGTGATATAATAAAATTGAGGATGCTTATGTTTCTGCCTTCTTATGGTTTGTTTATATATTTATTTAATATAAAATTTGTTTTTAGTTTAATTTATAAAAAAGTATTTAATAAAAAAAATTATAAATTTTTTTACTTTTTTAAAAAGTTTTTTTACTTTCAATTTTTATTTTTCTTTTCTTTTAAAATGATAAGTATGATTTCTATCATACTTGACTAAGTTTTTCATAGCCAAAGGGTAAAGCGATGACTCAATTTAAAAGCACTTAATACCCTTCAGGTTACATTCTTAGTTTTCTGGAATCAATGATTGATAATCAATCATCCCTTTATAATCAAAATGCTTTCAAATCAAGAAGAGCTTGTTGGCTTGTTAGTTGTTTCGATTAACAGTTGGGAGGAAGGATCGACTTGTAGCACATTTGACTTCTTGAGAACACATTTAGCAGCGGTTCACTATTAGGAAATGAGATCGGATTGGTTTCTCAGCGAGACACTATCCGATTCGAATTTTTTCAAAGCTTTTAAATAGAGTGACACTAATAACGATTGTCGCGATTAGTCCACATAAAGACTTCTAATCAAAGATTTTTTTGGATTGTCGGTTCAATTGATAGAAAAAAAACAAGTTATAGGGATTGGACCCTATAGACTGTAACCGGCATAAATCCAAAGTGAAAAATCTATTTCAATTATCGATGGAATTTGAGGCAAAACGAAAGGCAGAGGCTGATTTTTACAATTAGAATTTCAATTCAATTTTACTTTCTTTTATTTTTACTTTCTTTATTTGTAATCAAACAAAACTCCCCCTATTTCTATTTTCTTTTGCAATTCACGCCTTGCCTCGGAACAAGACCAATTTATTGGCAAATACGATATTATCTGCGGATCGATCCTTACTCTCTCTATAATATCTATTCTATTTTATTTTTATTGAGATTTGGGTTATTTTATTTGGCAATTAAAACGATGAGTTGCCATTCATAGTAAATAAGGAATAGTCGTATTTACTTTGCTCATATCCAGCACTCAAAAGAGCTTCAATCAGCTTCAAATTACATTGTCCAGAAGATTTTTTCAACTCATATAGGAATTTTTACAACCTACATGGAGACAAATTTTTCATAGCAAAAATCGAAGCAATCCCTAATCGCGTATGTCAAAAATAGTTTTATTAGAATTTGCAACATGAAAGGGCATGTCTAAAGGAAGAACAGACCCAACAGACTGAAGTACTAACTGAATGAAAAACATTGCATTGTTTACCAGAAAGATAATGAGCAACTCCTTTACATGATTCAAAAAAAGTCCCTTAGACTTTCTACCAATCCCCATGATCATGCCATTGGATGATACTTTCTACCAATCCCCATGATCATGCCATTGGATGATCTAATATGTGTTACCAATTCAGATTGACCAGGCATATGCATAAAATGAGGTTTAGGAAATGAAATAGGATATACCAAGCTTTTGAAATCAGATATGATGTGGCCTGTAGCCCTGTATCTAAAATCCAAAGCAGTAAAGATTCAATAGCAAGTAAATCACAGGCAACAGTACCTGTAAGATTCACACTGAAAGCTAAAGTGGGTGCCTTATTCAACAAACTCAAGATTTGATTATGTTGTTCGATTGCAAAAGTAAACACCATTGAGGCAGAAACAACAGGTACAAAACTAGAGTCTGAATTCAAAAAGTCTGTTGACTCACTATTCAATGCCATCGCTGTTGGAGGAGTCTTCTTCTCGGTGAATCTGAAGTCAGAAGGGAACTTTATCGGCCTATAATAATTTTCCTTTCGATGTCCTCTAATTTTGCAATACTCACAGACGCTTGAAAAACGCTTTTGATCCGTCCCTCTTGAAGCATTAGAAAGACTGGAAAACATGACAGAAGAATCAGTTGAACCCTCAGACAGTATGTGTTGTGATTCCTCTTGAGCAATGATAGAATAAGCCTGATTTACTGCGGGCAGAGGTTTCATAGTCAAGGTTTGCCTTCTAATCGCTGAATAGGTTTCATTCAACCCCATCAAGAACTGAAAGGGCCTTTGGTGTGTGACGTGAGAATAATTTTGTTGGGCAATTTCACAATCACACGAGGTAAAAGAAACTAAAGCGGTGTACTCATCCCACTAGAGCTTTAAGCGAGTATAATAGACAAAAACAAAAGATTCACCTTGGAGAAGAGTTGCTATCGACCGATGGAGGAAGAAAACCCTAGAACCATCGATTTTGTCAAAGCGTTCCTTCATATCCTTCCCAACAGTAGTTGAACTTGATGCAAAAACAATCCTAGCTGATAAGTCTTGACTCACTAAGTTAAGAATCCACGAAAGAACAATCACATTGCACCTTTCCCACTGCAAATGGAATGCCAAATCATATTGCTATCTGCGATAATCTCCATCCACAAAACCGAGCTTGTTCTTCATGAGAAGTGCAATTTTCATAGAGCGGTTCCATATATTATAGTTTTTTTTAATGAGCACAAGTTGAATAAAAAATTATCGAACTTAACAAATAGCGAGTCAATTTAAACACTAGCCAAATAATTTTCAAGTCTAGTCGAATATTATTCAACTCGATTCATCCAGAAATATCCACCGAATTTTTTGATGGGATTGTCAACCAGGCTGTGTTGCCTGAGCCGACTGACAAAGCGTATTAAGGAAAGCCTCCATTAATAAGGACAATCAATGATGTTTTGGTGTCAAAGTTAGTTAAGCCAACTGATTGGAGTCAAAGACTCATTGGGGGGGGTCCTATCTGCTTCGGGTACTCGGTAATCGACACACACTGAGTTAAATAATTTAATAGTCGCATTGGCATTGTGCATGAAACAGCTAAGCTTTGTGATGAAGTCTATACTAGTATGGCCCCCCACTCTTTTGCAGGGTTTAGTTATGCACATTGGCTTTCATGCTTTAGGGCTTGGAGTGTGCTCTTGATCAATTGAATTTCCCCACAAACCACCAAATGAGTTGATGGTCCCCATTATCTCCCTCTCTTTCAAAATGGGCATCATTGAAGATGCTACTAAATTCTTGTCCTTTGACCTTTTCCTCTTTGTCCCCAACTCCAATAATTAACCCTCTCATACTTTTAAACACTATTCGATTCGAGTAGGGAGGAATCGAGAAAGTTTTAGGGTAATCTTTCACTCTAAAAAGCTTTAATATACTTCTTAAAAGTTTGCACTTCCTAACACAAAACTCTGCATCCATCCTTGGACTCAAGTATATGTAATCGCATTGAAACTTACATAACACGAATTATCAATTAAACCAACTTCGTGATTTGATTTAACATTATAATTGAAGTGATAAAATTGTTGTCCATTGTAATAATAGTTTAATTAGTCTAAGTGGTATCATACTCACGGGCAGAATTAGGATTAAATTTTGAAGGAAACAAATTATTTATATATGAATTTATTCAGTTTCTAGAAGGTAATTAAGTCTCAAAAATAAAGGGTTGAAGCTTAATTTCACTGGTTGAATTGGGAGGGGTTGAATTATATATTAACCTTAAAGATTAAGGACCAACAAAAGTCACAACAATAATCAAATAATTAACCTTAATTTAGGGGATGTTTGATAAAATAAAATGATTAAGCGCTGAATAATTCAATGGTTTGAATGATTCAAAGGCTCTGTATGAATTGGCTCTGTATGAATTGGCTCTGAATGTGACATGCTGTTTGATAATGGTTCTAAATGTACAATCTGAATTATGAATATTTTCATTTTTACCTTCATAATGATTTATTATATTATAAGATATGATTGTTTAATAAGACAACATGTGAAAAAATTGATATTATGGTAAAATATCAGGTGCTTAATGATTCATAATGTACTTTAATGCTGAATCATTCAGCAGTGTTTTGCTGTTTCATTCAGCATAATCTTCATTCAGAGGTGAGAATCAAAACGCTGAATGCTGAACGGTTCAACATTCAACGCTGAATGATTCCATTCAGAAGTAAACAAACGGCCCCTTCGATTATAAACCACATGTTAAGTATAGGTTGTTTGTTTCAAGGTGTGGGTAAGCTTTAAACATTATTGTCTCCCTCTCTTTTTTATCATAGATTAATCATAATTAAAGCACAATAATGTTAATTATTATATGTCTGGATTTAATTAAGAGATTGCAAATCTTGGAACAAGCTTTTCACTAGCTGGACATGATCATGTTTAACATCTGTCAATTTTTTTTGTTTTGATGATGAAAATGCCCTTGGGTGAAAGGGATTTTAACTAAATATACCAAATGGGTCAAGCTATTTGAAGGGGTACATTGGTCAGTGGGATAATCATCACATGGAATGAAATTTACAGTCATGTGATCACATGCTTAAGATGAGTCAAAGGGAACTAAGCATTTTCTTTATATTTGCTTCACTTATCCAAATAATTAATTGGAATTCTATAATGTCACTACAGCTAAAAAGATAAGCATATTACATATATTTAAAAAATCCTTGTTCCTTACCCTTATTTGGCTTTTTTGGCCCAATAAGGATAACGTGTTTTTTATTTAGTTCATTAGAGCAAGTAAAAATTTATTTTGGGATCTACGATATTTTTTACAGTGTTATTGGAACTCTTATCATAGATCCCAAAATAAATTTTACTTACCCTAATAGGCTAAATAAAAAAACTCATTTACCTTACTGGTCAATTTTCTCTCTTATTTTCCCTCTTAATGTGATACTTAAAAGATATTTTCGAGAAGGAAATATAATTATTAATTAAGTGATGACATTGAGAGTTAAGGCTTTTTCTCCTCATGAATCAAGTGATTTTAGTGGTTAAAGGGATATTTATTGTTTTTAGAGGTTGTAAGTTTGAACATGATATCTGGAGGAGTATTTGAGCGTTCATTGTCAAATAGTTAAGAGCCTTTTTTTGTTACAAAAAAAATTAGGTAAGGGGTAGCCCCCAATCCAAGGTCAGGACATACCTAAGACCCAATTGGGATTTATATAGGAATTTACAGATTATCCACCAAGAGTGACAGTAGTAGGATTTGAACTTGACCTTATAAGCTCAAATTCCTGACAACCACTTATACCAACACTCATTGACAAAAGTCTTTTTAACATATATTACGTTTGTAATCTCCCAAGACTAACAATTTTTTTTCTTACCCCATTCTAATTCTTAATATATTATCTAACAATTTCTTTCAAAATGTTTTATATAATAATTAACAATAAATTAATTTATAAAAATATTAAATTAACAGAACTTTTAATCAAAGAAAGACATCGATTTTTTTATTAAAAATCCAAAAAGAAAAAAGTTCAACTTATTTTAAAAAATGTTGTATTTTTTTGGTATAAAAAGGAAAGGAAAAGTCCTTTTTGTCCTTACTAAATGTAAAGCGTAGTGTCCATGTGATGCTTTCAATATACTAAACAGCAAATTAGCTCACTTGTTACGGCTTCACCAGACCACATTAGCTTTTATAATCTCACCGTCCACTCAACAAATTGAACAATAACAGAACCGAGTATATAATTAATTGAGTTAATTCCATCCTACATCCCCGGATTATGATTCATATTCTAAATTGATCAATAAATATTCCAACTGAACCTTCGACCTAGATAATCTTTCGATTAAGTCCAAAGCTGACGATTAAATCAAAGGAATAAATAATGCTCTAGTTTAAGGATGCTGTTGGAATATTTTTCTATTTAGGGATCAATTTAGAATTTAGCCTATAGTTTGGGGACATAATCATAATTAAACATTGAGTTATTCATAAAGAACATTTTCCTTCCACCTCTATAAATCACAAATCCCATGCATAGCTCATCAGGCACAGCTCCAACCTTCAAAAAATGGCGCTGGAAGCTGTTCAAGCAAGCTCTGGAAATAGCATAGAACCGAATTCGAGTCCGAGGATTTCGTTCTCGGTCGATTTCCTCGACGAAACCAACTTCATATCCATCAATCCACATTCTCAAAATGAGGAGATGGATGCCCAGAAGGAGAAAGATAAAGCAAGAGTTGCAGACTTCGAGTTCCTTTCAAGAAAAGTGAGCAGCCACGCCATGTTGACGGCTGACGAGCTCTTCTTTGAAGGGAAGCTGCTCCCCTTTTGGCAAACGCAGCATTCCGAGAAGCTCAAACAAATCAGCCTTAGAAAGACCAAAGAGGAAGAAGATGATGATGATGAGGTGGTGAGGGCGGAAGAGGTTATAAACAAGGATGAGAGTAATAGTAGTAGTAGCATGAGTTGGTTCGTCGACGACAACCCGTCTCCGAGGCCACCGAAATGCACCGTTTTGTGGAAGGAGTTGCTGAGACTGAAGAAGCAACGGACTGCGTCGTTGTCGTCGTCGTCTTCGAGTTTGTTGGCCAACATAGCTGCATCTGAAGAAGGGAAACAAGGGTCTCGGAATAGATCAGATAACAGGCATGTGAAGAGGATAAAGAAAGGGTTGGAAAGAAAAAGATCATCAAGCATAAGAATCAGGCCTATGATTAATGTTCCCATTTGTACACAAGTCAAAAGCAGTGCACTGCCTCCTGTGTTTCCTCTTAAGAAAGGAAGGTAGCCATAGCTGAGTTGAGTTGAGTTTGATCTGAAAATCTAGGCTTCTTCTCCAATATTTTACATTTGTTTTTAAATTTTTCAAATTTTTTCTGCTCCTTTTCTTCTATGATGGATGGAAGCTCAGATGTATTACAATTTACAATGTAAATGTTGACTGGAATTTACTCTGTTTTTTTCCAACTTGTTTTACACTTTCATCAGGCACCAATGTATTATCAGCTAGCAAAATGAGCAGTCATTTTACAGGACAACCACATGAAAAGATGCAGAGTTCTATGAATTTTCAGGATCCGACCCTGAAAGATCAGCCAAAGAGGGGAAAAGAGAAAAGCCTGATGCATGGGACTAACAGCAATGAATTATTTTTGGGAAGGAAGAAAGGGTCTGAAAAGGCAAAATGGGTTCTGAAAAGGATCTGAATATATTTAAAAAAAATATGGGGTAGTTTAGTGCATCTGATCTAAGGCACATAGCACCCAAGTATGTCACTCACAATTTCAAAAGATTCTCAATTTGTCGTCGTGTTGTTTCCAACCGGTTTCACAAGTAAATGAACCTTGACCGACTGGTAAGGTAAAGGCCATCTAAAATTTTAAAAGAATTAGACAGAGAGGACTCTTTTTTACCAAAACAAATACATAATGAATTGTAATTCTGTTAAATGTGTTAAATCTTATATAACACAAATTATTAAAGTGTCGAGATTCAACCACCGGTGTTAGTTCAAGTGATAAGAAATTTGATATCATTTAAGTAGGTCTCTATGTATGCATAAAATCTCTGTTGGAAGACACACCCACCAAAACTAGATGTGTGATGTGAGTCAGTTTTGATTAGTCATAACGAAACCTTAGAACCAGAATGACAATAAAAAAATTGAAAATTCATAACACCTTGAATATAATTACAACATAAAAGGGTAAAGTACACCAGATATCACTAACCATGATCAAATGATAATTTTGATTATTGAACTTTTAAAAGTTACAAAATGATCAATAAATTTATCGCATTGTTATAAAATAATCATTGCGATTGTTATAATAAGTATAAAAGTTCCATATTATATTACAAATAAGTGCCTAAAGTGTAACCCCTTATACCCAACCTATGTGTTACGATCAGATCTAACGGATTACAATAAAAATTTACAAAATAATTTTCTCACTTTAAAAAAAATCATTACTTCTTAAAAAATGGTTATGTTAGCAAAATTCAAATCAGATAGTATAAAATAAAAAATATCGCAAATTAATTAAAATACTAGTAATATGTAAATAAATAACTTCATTCATTAAAGGTTAAAGTAAATAAGCAATACACCACTATATCAAAATACTAGGCATATGACACCAAAAATAAAGGCAATTCTAAATATTGAAACATTACAATAAAATTTCTGTACGGAATGTGTCGATCCTCCAAGTGTTGGGACTGAGTACCTATCCAAAATATCTTAAAAGAAAAAGATAGGGGAGTGAGCTAGGGAGATCAGTATGTTCCAATAAGTGCAATATAAAACCTACAAAAGAATTTAAAAAACAATTCAATAAAGTATTATGAAAATATCAGTAAATTTATTTAAAACAGATATCTACCCTCCACCCGTACACCATTTGAAATACCCCAGAACAGACATCCATAAGGACTTATCCTAGAACCTTAGGATATATGAGTCCAATGTGGAATATCATAACAGAAAGGAATTACATGTAGTTGAACTTCAGAGTCTCCAAACATCTACCCAGACAATACCCAATAAAACAGTTTCAGCCAATACTAATATTATCAGAAGTCATAAATCAGATATTTTACAATAAGAGTAATCCTGAGAATAAGTACCAAACAATCAGAAATTTCAGATAAGTAAAAATAGAACTCATGAAAATAAGTAAATAGAATCATGCTTTCAAAATCAGTTAAAACATATATATATATATATATATATATATATAATACACAAGGAACACATCGCAAAACGGGCCAGTCTAAAAAATCTACTAAGCACCGGCCTCGCTATGATAAAAAGTAACACACGATTCTAAATCAGATCAGAACAGGATTATTATTAGAATAACGCACTAAACAGAACATTTAACTAAGTTGCAGAAATATGTGAAATCACGACTCATGCGACCGGACGGATCGAGAAGAGCTGGTTTGAACAATCGAACGATCGGGCAAAACACGAGTACCTATCATAACCAAAGTCATAAATCAATCTTTGCCATTTTCCTCATTTTTCCACAACCAACTTAATTAAAATAACTATGCAATTTCAAGTTCAAGGGTCGATTCGAAGGTTTTAAGGTTAGAATTTGACAAAACGAATTTCAGATTCGGACTCATGACGTCGAAAAAATGAAATATGACATTTTCGAAAAAGTTTATTTCTTTTATCAAAATCAACAATCAACGTGGTCAAAGTCAATGATTAAAGTCAACAGGTAAACTCGGTTCGGTCTTTGTTTTCTTGACTGACTCTATCAAAGTTGACTCTCTTAACTCGATCGAGTTGACTTAGATTTCCAGAAGATTCGCAGGGACAAAGGCCACGCATCGCGGAGGCGCATGGCAGCACGTGTGGAGGGTGACAGGGACATGGACAACAGCAGAACGCTCGGAAGACTGTCAAACATGAAAATCAGTTACAACACCACCAAAATCAACCAAGATTTGGCTGAAATTAAATATAAAGCAACCAAAGCTTACCCCCAATGGTGGTCGTTGGAAACAACGGCGGGAAGGGACAAAACTGATTGGGTTTTTGTCGGAACAGGGCAGGGAACCTAACGGCGATGGCGGTGAGGTGAACAGAAATTGAGATCAGCACGAAATCGACAAAACCTTATGGAGAACCTTTGTTTTCCGACGAATATTCAATGCGATCTCCACAGCGAACAACAGGGCCAAACGGAGAGATGGTGGTCAGGTTTTGGTCGCGACTGGATGACGGACACAGTGGTGAGGGCGGTACACGACACGGCAAACAGAGGCAACAGAATCGATAGTGGAAAGGACGACGAGATTTTTATAAAAAAAATTAGGATTTTGGTTCAAGTTTAGCAAAGAGCTATTTGGTTTTAGGATTTAAAATCCCAATCGAACTGTTTTAAAAAATATTTTTACAATAAACTAACACAAACATGACCTTAGCCTAGTGGTTCAAATCCCTTCAACCACACTTATAAAAAAAATCTCACCATTTCCTTTATTTTCCTTTGCTGACGGATGATGGTCAATCCACACTTATGTCCCTGAACTTTTAAGAAAATTCTAAAATTCTCTTAAAACTTCAAAAATTCATAATTTGGTCCCAAAAATTAATTAAATAAAATGATATTCAAATTGAATAAAAATTGAGGTGTGACATAAAATATATCATCTTTTTCATTTAAGTACCTAAAGTTTTTTTGTCAAAGTACTTAAAGTTTCATTTTGGTCAAACTAGGTACCTAAAATATATTTGTATGATAATTTATGTACCTAAAGCATTCAATCTTTTTCATCTAATTTCTAAAAGTTTGACACGTAACATTAATCAACAGTACTTATTTATGATATAAGCCCAAATTTAATGATCATTTTGTGATAGTTCGATAAATTTAATGACTATTTTGTAACTTTTGAAAGTTCAATGACCAAAACAATCATTTAAGAATAGCTCAATGACCTGTGATATACTTCACCAAAAACCCGTAAAAGCACACCACCATACATGATTTTTCGGTCTATTTTTCACTATCTATCTTTGTACCAGTAAATTTTTTTTAATTCCGTTTGTTTAACTTTAATTGAACAAATGAACGAATACTAATAACTAAACGAATGTAATTAAAAAATTTAGTTTATTCGCGTTTGTTCATGTTCGTTTGTTAAAATGATAAACAAACACAAATGAACGAACTAAACGAACACAAACAAACGAATATAAACGAATGTAAACGAACATAAACAAACAAACATAAAATTAATTGAGTTTCTATTTGGGAAGAATTTTTTATTTCCAAATAATATTAGGATCAATATTTTCTTTAATTGATTTGAGTATTTTTATTTGGGTTTAAAATTAATTGGGTTTTAAAATATTAATCAATTTAATGTTAAAATTTATTAGGTCTTGATATTTCAAACGGACTGGAGATTAGTCCGAATATAAACGAACGATCATAAATGAACGAACATAAACATACGGATTATCAAACGTTCATTAACGAAAATGAAAGAACGAACCATTTGTTTGTGTTCGTTCATTTGATTAAACGAACATAAAATTTTGTTCATATTCATTCGTTTAATAAATAAATGAACATAAATGACTTTCCCACCGAACGATTTACAAAACAGATCGCCGAACGTCCTAGTAAATAAGTAAATATCCATAGTGAGACTCGTAAAAAATACATTGGAATGAGTTAGTGAAGTATGGCTAATGATTTGCAGGCTGAATATGGACAAACTATTCTAGTATAAAAATGGGAACTTGGCAATCAAACAGAAAAACATTGGTGAAACTTCCAGCAAATATCAGACCTAGATGATAGCTTTTTATGCAGAATAAATTGACACACAGAACTGGTGAAATCTGGTATTTTGACCATTCCAGCAAATATAAGACCTAGATGTAAAGCTTGAAGTAAATAAGCTAAGAATGAGTGACATGACTAGTTTAAAATTATACTTACCTCAAGATGTTCAGCAAGTGAAGGACCACAAACTATATGAAATAATAGCTGCTCCCTCAAATATATAGCACATATCACATGTCAATCGTACACAAATTTGACCGAAACCGATTACTTGAACCGATTTACCTGAACCGATACCTAAAATAGATCCGAATATTATGACTCAAATTTGACCCGAAATCTGAAAAAATCGAACCGAAACCAATCCGAATTTGAGCCAAACCGAAAGTAACCCGAATCGAAAGCAACTAAACCGAATATAACCTGAACCAAAATTAACCCGAATTCAATTTGCCCAAATCTGATCTTTTTTATAAAAAATATATCAATAATTCTATATATACTTGATTTAACTTATACCCAACTCAACCTGAATTAACTTGAAGATCCAAAGTTGATCCAAACCGAAAATAATTGATCGGATACTGACCTAACCCAAAAACCAACCAGCCCGATTTGATCAGACCCAAAATCTTCCTATCTGATTTGACCAGACATGATACCTAAACAGACCCAATTTAATATAGACCCGAATAAAATCGAAACCCGAAATAACACGATCCGACCCAAACCTAACCCGAATTAAATCTAAACCAAAACGATCCGAATCGAACTCGAACAGAGTGATCCGTTTGCCACCTCTATACAGAAATCAATTTTTAAATCAAATGAGTTTGGATAAACCAAGCAAGGCGAGCTCAGGTTGATTAGAAATTTTACGCTATATTAAACGAAAAAACGAGTTTCTATATGAAACTACAAGGATAGGGCAGTTCTAAATGAAATTAAAGATTTGGTTAATGTATAACCTTCAGAAATTCAACTGACACATTTAGTTTTACCCAAATCTCAGAAATTCCCTCCAGGGTTTCACTCCCCTTGAACTTAAAAAGCTCAAGATAATATACATAGATTTTTTTACCTCACAAAGGTTTATTTTGGCAAAGAACCGGCCCCTACGAATAAAGGATCGATCTCTTCGGGTTTGGCAACCAAAGTAACCATTCTGTGAGAAAAATGATTGATCATTTTCGCAGCAGAAATCCTTTCCACAAAAATAAGAATTCTAAACAATTTTATCTTTGAAAATGGTGACTTTTTAACTTAAAAAGCATTTGACAGAAGATTATTTCTTTGAAAAATTTTGACAATTAATTTTTTCAATATGCTCAATCTAGCTATTAAGCTTAATGTTTTGTCATTTCAAAATGAGAATCAATTCAAAGATAACATTATGCAACTTGGCTCTATGAACAAGGATATTTTTCAGGTCATGCCATTCTCCATTAATATAGGAAAGAAACCATGTGCAATAGACCTAGTACATGGGTCCAATAATAATAAGTTCAAGGGTCAGATAACGGGAAATTCATCAAAAAGGTCGATAAGACGCAACCTTTTAAGTCTACCACATTCATCTCCCACCATTTTATGAGGCAATCTAAAAAAAATTGCGTAGCACAAGATAGTATCAATCTGATTACTGCATTTACACATCTAATATACATGTCGGAACAAAATTTCTTTAACCAAATTTCTCCTGCAACCCTTGAACTAGTTTAGTTTTATTAATTAAGCCTCTATACTTTCACGGTACCCAAATAAACCTTATATCTCGATTTGGACTTAATTAACCCTTATTTCAAATGAAATGTTGATTTATATTAAGAATTTTTGTTTAGGCATAAATTAAAAGTTAGTGGCTTATTCAGATGCGAATTAAAGATTAAGTACTTATTTGGAAATAAGTTAAAGGTTGAGTTTATTTAGGTGTAATAAAAATATCAGGGCTCATAAAAATAAAGTGACAAAGTTCAAGGGCATATTTAGCATATTGGCCAAATAAGAATGACTTACAGTTCACGAAATCTTCCTATGTCTCCAAGGGATGATGGGATATCTCCATTTAGTTGATTGTCTTTCAAATGCCTTTAACAAAAAGAAGAGAAAAGAAAGTAGCATATCAAATGTAAGCAAAAAACTGCATCTTAATTCACACGAATTCGTTCGCCCTCTGAACATGTAATTCCAGTCCATTAATAATAAGGGCCAGGCAAGGATCACCGTTCCAATCAAGTGGAGGGTTCCGCAGACTGTTTTTGAAGTTCTCTAGAGCTCACTGCAACAAGAAATTAAGATCCTTTTCTTCTTCTTCTTCTTTTATTAATACGAGAAAAATACAAGATAATACATGTTCAAAGATAACTCTAAACTATTTAATATTGAACGTTCATACCCTTGACATTCCTTATTTTTGAAATCGATACCTCAAAGAATAACAATAATTTCTTTATTACCGAAGTCGCTTAGTTCATGTATTGGAATCCTTTTCAAATAAACAGGGGAAGGAATGAAAAGTTCAGACAAAATAACCGCTTGTTAACCCAATATAAAATTAGAGATAAAAGGTGCCGTGCAATCAGCAACAAACAATAACATATGACCAGTTGAAGCATTTTCCAAGAGAAAAAACATCAGTTTGATTTCGGACAACAGCAGTAGAAATCGTTAGCAACATACCCTCCCTTGTATGAGGCCGTGCAGCACATCAAAAATGTACCCAGCATTGATTAAAGGGCCAATATTTGAATTGGCAGCAGGACTCTAAGTAATCTTAGTTGGACCGTGGCCATATGGTTGTGAAGACCGCAGCTCCAGCCGAAGTCACTCCCAAATTGCTTCAATACTTTACATCATTTATGCGTATGTCAAGCACTCTTGAGCTTGACCGGATTCAATCACTATTATCGGCTAAGTACAAAGCAATGTAATAAGTTTGAGTTTGGAAGTGACACAGTCGGTCATCTCAGCTTCAGGGTTTCTAATCGATCCGTCGAAGGTGCTAGTTCAAATACTTTTGAAGGGGGGCAAATTCCACAACCCAGAAACAGGTGGAGTACTGTTGCTTGCTATAACATATACATTTTCTTCACATGGCTCCTAGTATCGATCAAATTGATCGTCAGGGTATATCATCATAGCACAAAACACTCATATTCAACAATAAAGAAAGTATCTAGAGAAAAAGAAAACTCCCACTTCAGACTTCAGAATTAATTTAGCCAATTTTATTTAATTCTGCCTACCATATGTTTTTGCTTTATGCTGTGCAAAAACTAAGAAAAATCATAACAATAAAAAGAGCCTGCAAAAGGAATTGCTTAGGACTTACATAATAACGGGTCCCTTGTATCCAAAACTGTGTCTAGCAACCAAACGCAAAGCATGAGAATCAAAATTCGTAGTATTGTAAAGCGAATCCCCCAAAATAAGCATCTCCAAGCTCAAAATAAACGGGTCGGGCTCCGTATACATCTTCAGAGCATCTTCAAAAAACCGCTTCGTAGAACGACTGCCACCCCTTCTGATAATCCTCCGTCGTGTTCACCACCCTCCAAAACGTTCCATCCTCTATCTGATCGAAAACCGGAGACAAATGAAAACTCAATCCGTTG